TCGGTTCGGGAGTCGGGTTAAATAAAAACTTTCGGTTCGGGTCCAAATGTGAGCCCAAACCCGGATCCGAACCGACAATTAGTAACATCCTAACTTTTCAAAATATTTTTACTATTTCAAACTGGTATTTATTGTTATGGATATATTGGGATAAGAATTAAAGCCGATTGAATCATCATTTTTACCAAAGAGTGAATCATAGAAATGAGAAAAAGTTTTTGTTCTGTTGTTTTTCAAGAATCAAGGTATCCAAAATTATGTTTTAACTGGTTTTGATTTTAGTTATTATCAATATGAATACTCCTAAAAAAGAAAATGTTAGAAAAATATTGAACAGCGTATGTTTAACACATGTTCTAAACCCGCATTAGCCATAGTACAGAGATGGAACACTTTTGTTCGGATAAACGATGATAAAGAAAATAGCATTCCATTTGTACAACGTATTGAGTGTTTGTCAATTTTTGCTTATGATTTACGCCCGTACAAATTGAGTTCTGAATCACTCGATTCACTTGCTTTTACGTAATTTCAGATGAGTGTTTTTGTTGTTTATTTATTAAAGTAGATTGTATATTTTCTACATGAAATAAAGTTTGAAATCAGTTGTATGTGAAAATGGTAGCCGGATGTGTTATACTTATAAACGGCTGCCGGGCGGGTACCGAGTAGTGCTATTCGGGTCCGGTTCGAATCCGAGTATGGAGTTGCCGGGTCGGTTCGGACTTGGGTACGGAAAAAAAGTTCCGGTCCGGTTTCGGATGGAAAAAAATGCGCCCATGCAGTACTCTAATTCAAGGCTAGAACACTCAGTCACATTATTTTGATACTTTGGCACAAATCCATTTTACAATGTCGAGATTGTATTCCTAAAGAATATTTCTAGAAAATCAATAAAATGTAACAATACATTTCGCATGTCATTTTAAAGAAGAACATTTTGAATACTTAGTTCGTATTTATTATTTAGATCAATTAATGATGTAAGTAATTTCGCTATGTTTGAACGTTTACCATTAGTTTTTTGTCATCTTGAATCATTATCATTATCTCTTATAAATCCAAAAGATTTATATACATTAATAGTACTTATTCTTCAAAAAATGGCACCAATATTAAAAACACTGAATTTATCTATTGAAGGACATATTCATGAAGTTATTATTTTAAAGGAATTTATGTCATGGCTTATTAGTTATTTATATTCACATGATCTTGAAAAAGTTGATGTTAAACAAACTGATGATCAAATTTACTTTTGTTTTTAAAGAAAAAGAGACATACAAAATTTTTCTTTTGTTTTTTGGTTTTGAATTTAAATAAATAAATAAATAAATAATATTTTCTTTCAGATGTCATTTGAAATAAGTTTTCCAGATGAAATAATTCTTGAAATATGTCGTTATTTACATCCAATTGATATTCTTTTATCATTTGGTGGTCTTAATTATCGATTAAATCAAACAATAAGTGATTTTATTCATCATGTTCATTTATCATCCATAATTTCCTATAAAAATTATCTTTATTTACTTCGTATTATTCTTCCAACAATATGGTCATCAATAGAATCATTAAAAATTAGTAATTGTCAAGTATCATGTTTAACAAAATTATTTTTAGATAATACAGATAAAATTTTACCACCAAATTTAAAAAAATTAAGTTTATTTCATTTAAATATAAATGAAATTTATACTTTTATTAATCATTTAATGAATAAATCAATAGTTGAAGAATTAATTATTGAATGTGAAGATTTAGATTTTGATAAACAACAAGAATTATATGGTTTTAAAATAGCACAGATGCTTTTTTTTAATCATCCAACATTAAAATCAATTGAATTATCTGGAAAAATTATATTTGATTTAAGTCATTTATCATTTTTATCATTATCAAATAGTAATGATTCAGATGTAAGTTTTTAATACTATTTCATATTTATAAGATGTAATTAACCTTTGGTGCGATCCTTTTTAACCCTTTGGGGACGGGTTTTTTTTTCTGTATATTTCGTCATAAATCATTCAACGTTTCTATTTTCTAAAAGAACTTATAATCTATTACTGGATATCTGAATAAAATAACCTAATTACAATCCAAATTATACCAAAAAACTCTCTGATAAATGCTTTCACAAAAACTAATCTCATATAGGAATCTGCGTGTTTTGAGATGCTAGAGAATCGCCATGGCCCCTTAAGGGGCCAACCGTCCCCAAAGGGTTAATTTTTTTTATGAATACCTTGCCATAAGGCAAAAAACCGATAAAACAGTCATAACTCCATAAGGAAGGTCTACGGGAAAAATTCTTTAAGGTTTTTCTGAGTTCTATTTATCATCACTGTGATTGGCGATTAACAGTTGTGTATCCCTTGTTAGAATAGCTTCAATTCTGTAGAAAATGAAATATTACAATAAGCGAAATTTCATCTGTGCATTTTTACTAAAGAGATAGTTTCTAACGGAAAATTAAAATCTGTCATGTAGGATAAAATAGAAAAGTAAATACTCTCTTTTAATCCTATTCTAACTGTAAAGCTCTAAAAGTAATAAATAGCAAAACAGTGTCACATTTGAGATATGCAGGATCAGATAAACCTGTACATCTTTATTCGATTGATAATATTGTCTTTTTTATTTTCCATCAAAGAAAAACATCTACTAAATGATACGATGAATGCTATTATAAATCATTTGTCTTAAGGATTATATCCATCTTGTCTAATAAGAAAAACCATCACATAATCTTTGAGTGATTTTATTTACTCTTGGTTTTTTTTTTACTTTAAATTATTTAGTCAATGAGTATTATGAATATTAGACATTCATATATGCTTCGTCGATTAACAATTCCTCTTCAATCTTTAAATAGTTTACATTTACTTCTTAAATATCAACCATATCTTGAATATTTAAATGTACACATTGCTGATGCTAAATCAATTTATGATCATACAATAATACCATTTCCATCATTATTAAATCTTTATGAATTTCATTTTCGTTCTGATGATTTATCAATTAAATTTGAAAATATATTTGAAATTTTAACATATTTTCCAAATTTAAAATCATTATCACTTAATTTAACAACTGAATGTGGATTATTTTTTGATGGAAATATTTTACAAACACTTGTTTATAAACTTGATTCATTTCAATTTTCTATAGCATGTTTTCTTCGACCAACATTTGAAAAACAAACATTATCAACATTTTATACACCATTTTGGTTAGAAATAAAAAAATGGTATACACAATGTTATTGGCATATTGATGAAGATAATATAGATTCTGATTATTTTCATATTTATTCAGTACCATTTTCATTTTCAAATTTTGATATTTATAAATGTACAAATGAAAATTTATTATCAAAGGATAAAATAAAACCATTTACTAAAGTTAAACGATTAGATTTAAGTGAAACAAGTGATATTAATATAATACCATTTATAAAATGTTGTCCATATGTTCATACAATTTGTTTAAATGATATTTATGATGATGAAGAAAATTATGGAACTGATGAAGAAGAAGATATTACTGATCAAAATAATGAAAGTAAATATAATTATAGTTTACAGATAAAATAATCAATCATTGGAATCGAATTAATCAATATGAGGAAACATTCGAGTTATTTTTGATAGGATATGTAGATTTTGTTGGATAATCGAATGGTTCTTATGAAGATATAAATCTTTAAATGTTTTCTATTATGGAATCAAGACATAATGAACTGTTGATTTTTTTTTAAATTGTTGGCTACTACTGAAAAATAGAACTTTATCCACAGAACGGATAAACTCTTAATTACTCACATAATTGCATTTTAGATATATCGATGATATGTTCACCGAAAGAAAATTATTGAATAACGATCACTTCAGTATTTGCTTTTACAATTTTGATTGTAAAATGAATCATTTATTTCGTACACAACAGAATTGTCGAATACATAAACATACAGAAAAAACGAAGTATTACTCAATTAAGAAAAAGTAATAAATCTTCAAGATGAAAGCCATTAGAAGTTATGCAAGATGTCTCGAGCGCATTGATACTGCTAGAAAATGATATCGAATTTTTTGCTAGCACATGCATTACTAAGTGCAAAGCCAGAGTCAAAAATTTTTTCTGATCACGACCAAAAATGATTAATTCCGATCATCCTAATTAAATAATTAAGAATTAAAACGTATCATCATAATAAAATATAACTGAACGTTTAATTAAACTATTTCAACAAAAATTAATAAATAATTTCTTTAGATATTTCAATGAATGATATTCAATCAACTTATTCTTTTCAATCAACATTACCTATATTATCTCATGTACGTTATTTAATATTACTTTCACTTCCTGAACATGATTTAGAATTTTTCGAACGTCTTGTACATGTAACACCAAATCTCAATCGTTTAAGCGTATTTTTTGATGATTTATTTGAAATAATTCATTTACCTCAACAAAATTTATGTCAAATACTTCAAAAAAATATATATCAACTTGAAATAAATCTTGATTATTCATGGTCATTAGATGATGTTCGTCGTGATATTCCAAAAATACTTCGAATTTTTTCAAATATTAAATCTTTAACAATATCACTTCATTCATCACAAAAACGTTCATTAATGATAGTTAAAGAAATTTTAATTCATTTATTTAAATATTCAACAAATCTTATTTATATTAATATTAATGGTGATTCATTAACAGGTTTTGAACAAATATTAATACAAGGTGGAATTGATTTTATAAAAACATGGTTAATTCTATCTGATAATGATCGATTTAAATGTGAAGATTATTTAAAAAATTCCATGTTTATTGAATTAAATTCTTCATTAATAGCTATCTGGTTATAATTGTTTTGTTTTTTGTTAATATACGTGTATTTCTCTTTTCATTCTTTTTTTTTGGTTTCTATCATTATTCTAGGAGAATTTTTTGTTAATGATTTTATTATTTATATAGTTTTTTAGATGGCTGAAAATCAGAAAATAAAAATAAAAAATTATTCAACACGTATTCCACAATGGAAAAAAATTGACAAAGAAATTCAACAACTTACACAACAATATAATAAAGTATATATTATAGATAATTTTAAAAGAAAAATTTTTTTTTTCTTCATTGAAAATTATTTATTTAGATTGATCCTGGATCTATTCAAACTTTTAATGATTTTCCATTAAGTCGAAAAACTCTTGATGGTTATAAATTTAATTTATTTAATCTTTTTAATTAATTTAAATATATTTTAGGTCTAGCAAAAGCTGGTTTCATACATCCAACTGACATTCAACGTGAAGCAATTGGAGTTGCATTACAAGGCCATGATATACTAGGAGCAGCAATGACTGGCTCAGGAAAAACTCTTGCATTTCTTATTCCAGTATGTTATTGTTTTGTTAAATACGATCTAAAAAGAATGTTGAAGCATCGAGCACAGTGTGCATTAATGTTTTGTAACTCGGTCGAGTATGAGATCATACCCGTTATTTTTTCAAATTGCTATTTATATAAGTGAAAATCATTTCGATCATGATTGAGCAATTTATTTTACTTGAAAACAGGTCATAGAAATGGAAAACGATATTGTTTTTACTAAAAGAATTCGTTTTTAATGAAAATTCATCTATAGATGACGAGGATCCACATGATGACATAATTGAATAAATGAAGAAGAAAATGAATTATCAAAAAAGGCGAACATGTAGGATGTTTAACACCAAACATTATGTTCCATTCCAGTGTTATCACCATGACAAAATGAAACTGCCTGGTACGCACACCCAGTAGATATGCTAAATCTACATATCGTCTAATATCGATTATGGAAGACATCTTATGATATGAATGCATGATTTTGCAGAAAAAATAAGTTTTTTCTCAATTAATTTTCGACATGACTAAGCTCAGTATAACAAACATGCACCTTCTTAGCGTTAATATGATATATTTGGAATAAACGCGCAAGACTACATCGGATAATGTATGATACAAAATATTTTCTAATCAGGAAGTTTTCTCGAAAACAAGGTATGCAAGAATTCCCCTCAGGTGTTTTTCGTCGAAAAATGCGTTATTTCCTAAAAAAGTGATTTTCTGAGTGACATGGAATCACTGCTGAGCGAAAAAAGAAGTCGTTTTCGAGAACGAAAATTATATGTCCGTCTACTATATGAAAAATGTACATCGTGTAGGACTAGAAATTTGCATCCCTACAGGCCATGACAGACGTTGATATACGATCATAGACTGTATATCAATAACGTCTCGTTATAATATATGAACTACTTCCTTATTAAATTTCTGGAGAGGATGATGAAGAAATATGTCCGCAAATAGATAGAATAAAACAATTTACCTGTGATTAGCAACAGCAGCTATATCGTGTTATATATTTTAATCTCACAAGAATTGTGTTAACAGCTTTATCATATAATAAAAATTATTTTAAAAATTATATTATAGGTTCTTGAATGTCTCTATCGAGCTCGATGGACAATTAATGATGGTCTTGGTATTTTAATTATATCACCGACACGTGAACTTGCATATCAAACATTTGAAGTATTAAAAAAAATTGGTCAATTTCATGATTTTTCTGCTGGATTGATTATTGGTGGAAAAGTAAAAATCTTTTATTGTTTTTTTTTTTTAATACAAAAAATTTTTTATTATTATTTATTTATTTAATTTTAAAAAGGATTTAAAAGATGAACAAGGCCGTATTAATCGTACAAATATTGTTGTTTGTACACCTGGTCGATTATTACAACATTTTGATGAAACATGGAATTTTTCATGTGAAAATTTAAAAATACTTAGTAAGAATAAATTTTCTTGATATTTCTCAATTAAGAAAAGAAATTATTTGAAATAGTTATTGATGAAGCTGATCGTACATTAGATATGGGTTTTGCTGAAACAATGCGTTCAATTATATCTAATTTACCTAATCAACGACAAACATTATTATTTTCTGCTACACAAACAAAGTAAACAAAAATAAATAAGACATCAATATATTTCTTTTTATTTATTCTAGATCAATTCGTGAATTAGCATTAGTTAGTTTAGAAAAACCAGTTTATATTTCTGTACATGAAAAAGCTAATACAAGTACACCAACAAATCTTACACAAGTAAAATTAAAATCATTTCAAATAAATAGAAAAAATCTTATGTCTTTCCTTTTTTAGAGTTATATTGTTTGTGAAGTATCACAAAAAATAAGCTTAATATGGTCATTTATTAAAAATCATCTCAAATCAAAAATGATTGTTTTTATTCAAAGTTGTAAACAGGTACCGATTTATTTTTTTTTGTTATTTAATAAGTAGAAACTATGAGAGATAAAAGTCTTTTTTTATGTTCCGAATCCAGTCTATGACTTTTTTTTTTCTGATTTATCCTGTAACGCAAAAGAAATATAAAGGTATCATTTTGTTAAAGAAAAATATGTTTTTTATATAACACCAATAGAAAACATGCATTTAAAAACCGATTCGTAATGGTACAAATCCTTCTTGGAGATCTCTAGAAAACCGATCTCAGTGGAACGATTTTTCGGAGTCGAATCTTGCTGAAAACTTCACCATAGATATAGTTTATGTTATGAAATCTATCTTGAAATTGTTGGACCTCTTCGTCGTAGAGTTAGAGAGTTACTGGCTACTTATATTTTAGTTAATTAACTACAGTAGTCGCAAATCCTGATCGTAAACTGTAACTCGAGGTCGATAGGTTTTGATGCAAAGAATTTACGATGAACATACTGGTTTTCTTCCTAGGGTCTCAAGAAAGATAGTTTTGATACTTTTCTGATTTTCCACTATTTAAATTCGTCAACATCCATTTTCTCATTAATAAATAAAGATTTGCATGTCTATATTGTGTCATAGATAGGGTACTTCAATCCGCTGTAGCCTTGAGGCACGAGGAAATCTCTATTGTCTGGAACGGTCTCTGTTTGGATCTCCTTTGTATCGATGACTGCGATCGTAAAATTTTCATTACTTGCTTATTACCAAAGCTTGGAAAAAAAAGAGATTAAATCGCAGTATAATTGCAGTTGAAGAACGCTGTCGCTCTTATCCATACATATACTGATTATTGTGTACCATAAACTAATTAAACTAGACAATGTGCCCAGGATGAAGAAAATAATAACGAACAATTTTAAAGGCATCTTACAGTATTTTTTCTTTTTTGTGATGGGTTTATATACTAAAATATTTGTTAGAAGTAAGAAATTGTAAGTTTACGACACATTTTGATATGCGGATTTCATAAATTCAGAACATTGTTTAGATTTTTTTCTGGGTTCGCAACTGTCCCACAAGACTCTACTACTAAGATTTTCTAGCAATAGATAGCTAAAAGAACGAAATTTGTTCTAAAATCCGCAGTTTTCTTTTTCTAGGCATTGCTTTCGAAGGACAGTTAAATCTCTAAATGATGTACTCTATTCTTATTCAGAAATTTTTGAATTTGATATTTAAATTTTTTTCCTATTCAATTCATTTATAGGTTAAATTTATCTATAATGTTGTATGTAAACTTCGTCCAGGTTTACCAGTACTTGCTCTATATGGTACAATGGGTCAAATGAAACGAATGTCAATATATGATACATTTTGTCGAAAACAATATGCATGTTTATTTGCAACAGATATTGCTGCACGAGGCTTAGGTAAATAAATTTCTAAATTTTTATTTTATTTATTATTTATATATAATTGTAGATTTTCCGGCTATTAATTGGGTTATTCAATTTGATTGTCCACCTGATGCAAATACATATATTCATCGAGTTGGACGAACTGCACGGTAAAAAACAAACAAAGAATTTTGATAAATTCAAATAAAAGTTTTAATATTTTGTATCTTGAAATAGATTTGAACATGGTGGAGAAGCTTTATTAATTTTAACTAGTCGTGAAGAACAAGGAATGATTAAACAATTAGAAGATAAAAAAGTTCCGATAAAAAAAATCGAGTATATAGAATAAAAAACAAAAACAAAATTGTTCAGATTAAATTTAATTGAGATTTATTATGATTGTAGAGTTAATTCAAATTATATTCATGATTTAACACCAAAAGTTCAAGCACTTTGTGCACAATTTCAAGAACTTAAAGAAGAAGCAAAACGAGTACAGAGATTCTTATTATATTAACAAAAAAATCTTAACGTTTTTTTTTTCTTCGAAATTCAAAGGCCTTTACTTCTTATCTTCGTTCACTTATTCTAATGGGTAATCGAAAAGTCTTTGATGTGCAATCAATTGATACAGATGCTTTTGCTAGGTAAGATGTCTTAGCTAATCGATGGTACAGAATAAATTAGACTGTTTGTTTTTTTTTAATATTTCTCCTATATTCTTCATTTGATTGAATCATTTATCAAAAGATAGCGTTTGAAATTCTGCACAAAATGATATAACAAATATAGTTTTCTTCATTTGGTTTTTGATTAAACATAATTGTCAAGTAAAATCAAGTATCGAATGTAAAATTCTTTTTTGACAGAATGTTTTATTTCGTCTATTAATGTTGCCTTTGTTGTTATGTGTGAATCAAGAAAAACGATTTGTACATCATTTTTCATTGAGATAATGCGTGCGAACTTTAAAAAAATTCTTCTAACATCCAGTTTGCAAAATTAGTCCATTCTTTTTCCTGTAAGCCAGTCATGGTTGACTCTTCGATCTTCTCTTATGGGACATAACTAAGAACTTTATACCAGGTCAAAAAATATGGACTGGAATCCAGCCATCGGCTCTACTCTGTTAGGATCCTCGTCAATGGCTTCAGTCTCCAAAAAATCCTTGTTTCTGGCAGGAAAACACCAGACATCAATGAAATATGGAAGCAGTATTTCGAATCGGAAAGTTTTCTGTCTGAAATACTTCTGATGTTTTCCTATTGGAACCGGCTCGTATTTCTTGACCTAATAACCAGAACTCGAAAAATCTGATCACTAGATTTCTGCTTCCAAGTTCCTACTATTTTTTCGGCTGGAAATTCATAGATTCGAACGTCAGAATCATTGATCGGAGATGCGACCGCAGTGATATGCGGTTTTTTTCAACAGGCAGTTTTCTTATTGGCATCCGTTTTTTTTTTTGAAAAAATAGACCCCGTGTCACTTTTCTTCGAACTCTACGTGAACCATAAGGGATGGTGTGATAAATTGATAGAATCAATGTTGTTGATTATTTTTATCCATAATTTAATTGTTTATAATGAAACTACTCTGACGAAATCATAATAAATATTCTCCTATCCATTCCTATGTTCATATTTATTTTTCATCGTGTTTTCGAATATACCTTCAAAAACAATCTTTGTTAAAAATCAATATACAAATAGTCTAATTTATTTTGTATTATTCGTTATTTTAAAACTTTCTATTTGATTCAAATAATAGTTCATTGGGTCTTGAAATTGCTCCAAAAGTTCGTTTTATGAAAAAAGGACAAAAACAAGAACAATCAATAGATACAGATACGAAATCATCTATTGAAAATAAAAATAATACTGAAGAAGAAAATAAAGATGATGATGATGATGATGATGATGATGATAATTGGTTTACAGTCAAAAAAACGTCTGATACACTTGAACAAGAAATTTTTAATTTATCCGAACCATTAGAAAAAGAAAAGAAATTAACAAAAACTAAATTAGCTAGAAAATTACGGAAAAAAAATCTTCTTATTAATAAACGTATTGAATATGATGATGAAGGCAATGTAAGTTTTATTATCATAATCTTACATTAAATTTCATAATCTATTGATTCTTTTTCATTGATTAGGCAATTATTCATTCCGATGAAGAAGATCAATCACCAATATATAATATTGAAGAAGCTAAAACACGTCTTCAACAAATCGATAAAACAGATAAAGAAGCTTATCGTGCATTAGTTAAACAAAAACATAAGGTCTATATTTATGCTTAATCTAGAAAACAGAATCAATTAATATTATTTTTTTTTGTAGGAACGTCGTATGAAAGAGAAAGAAGCTCGTCGAGCAGCACGAGAAGCTAAACGTCTTAAACAGGAACAAGAAGAAGAAGAAGAAGAAGAAGAAGAAGAAATTAATCAAAATGAAGAAGAATCTCCTTCCAATGGAACTGACGAACAAGAAAGATTAGAAAGGTTCGTAATACTTAAACATCCATAACTTCAATATTTTTTTTATTTAATTTATTTTTTAGAAAACGAAGCTTATCACCTGTTGAACCTAGGAAGAGAAAGAAAATACAACGATCACTAAAAGAATTTATCAATGATGATACTACAAAGACTATTAATGATACAGAACAACTTGCACTGTATTTATTATCAAAATAAAATTGTTATCACTGTTTTGTGATTTGTTTACATTTCAAATTTTCTTTCTTATGCAGTTTCTCATAGAGAATACCTTGGTTTTTTTTTGTTCACAAGAAAACGTCTATTGAAGTAAAAATCTTTTCTCATTAATATAAAAGTTAATTTATCGCTCTTTGAAACTAAATTATGCATTTTAAAATATCAAATCGCTTTTCGATCGAGACAATGTTCATTTGATGGAAAAGTCTAAAATGATTTGGTTTTTCAGGTATCGAAATTTTACTGGATTTTTCAACAAAAAAAAAGCTGTAGCCTTGCAAAAATCGACTTTCGAGTTTTGATTTCAAGTTTTACACGAGCAAAATTCTTAATGAAACTAGATGATTGTGTAACAAGTAGTTTCTTTCTTGAGATGTAAATTTACTTTTACACATGAGTGAATTTCGAATATTGAATGTCTCCGGATGGAAAATATTAGAAAAGTTAAAATATGCCCAATAAACTAATCTCATTAAAAACTTTGTTTGTCTCAAGTTTGAAGTCGAAAATCGATTTTCCACGTGACCTAAGGGGAGATCGCGGCTAACCCCGTAAAATTCCGATATCTCGAGAACGAAAGTCTAGAAAACTAAATCGCTCTAGACTTTTCTATTATTCATGAAATGAACATCGTTTCGATCACAAAGCAGCTTGAGCTCTCTCCACAGAAGTATTACTGCAGGGTCTCCATTCTTCCCTACAGCTTTTTCCTCGACCAAAGTTCAAGTATTAGAAATAAATTGCTTATAGGCTGTTATCGATCTTTACAACAAAAACTCCTATGTAAATCAACGCCATCTATGTATATATTTGAGATTTGTTCATAAGATGAAAGCAAGCGTTTGATCTCAGTAAGTAGATAGTCATGTGTATGATCAATTAAAGACCTTGTGAACACTAAATGGATTAAAACTAGTTTAAGCAATTTGATTGGTGTTGCTACGTGGAAACATAAATCACATAGCTTAATCGAAATTTTAATTCGTTTAATGTATACCATGCCTAATTTACGATACTTTAGAATTGAAAATCATATTTCCAATTATGACAATGTAAAGATAAACTATAGTTTATAATGGTAGACATATGAGTCATATTACAACCTCGTTAATGTTTGTTCAAAAAAGTTATTCTATTAAACAAAAAATGACATTCGATCGATCATATTTAGTATTGTACTTAATTCGACATTGATCTTATCTTTCTTTTTTTAATTATTTAAATATAATAATTGATTTCCTAGTAATAAATTATTTGTTTCCAACTTTGAAATTTTAAACTATTATAATCATAAATTATTCTTTATACGAATCAGACAACAAAAAAATAATATATTAAGTTCTTGTCACTATCAATGTAGATATTTAAACGGTAAGTAATTGAATTTCGACGTTTGAAATTCATTAGAATTTTTGTTCCGCTCAGCGATACTCCATCCTATTTCCTGGTGAAATTAAAAGTCTTTTACATATGAAAGATTTTTTTTCTCTCTTGTTATTCATCATTTATAATAAAACCATGTCTGACATTTTCGACACATTAATGTTATATAAATATAATATACAAGTAAATATACATAATAAGAAAAAAGAAGGTATAGACAAATAAATCGTTGTTTTTCTTTGTCTTAGTTTCTAAAATTCGTAAAAAATAATTGTTTGTTTTTATATGAAGACATTGTCATGTTGATGTATAACAATTCAGTTCAATCTATTAATTAATTATTTAGAGTATATTATAAGTACTATATAAAAAATTTATTGAACAAATATTTATCAGAAATGTAATACTCGAAAGAAACCGATTTGTTTTCATATTATTTATTTCTAGATATAAAAACAATGTATTTAGTAAGTTATTATAATTCTTAGAATGTTGAACTTGATTTATTCACAACAAAATTATACAATAGATAAAAGTGAATAAATATTTTTGTGTCTAATTTTTTTACTTCTTTTTTCGAAATTTTATATACGCTACGGTTTTAATAAATCAAAACGATTTGATACAGGTATATTAAATTCATATGTAATTGATTGTCGTCGTAATTCTTTCGATGTTAAAGATAAAGATTGATTTGAATTATTTAATAAATATTCATCATAATATTCAATAAATTGATCAATAAGTTGATCTTTTTTATCGATAAAATCTAAATATTGTTCATAAAAATGACATTGTCGTTGTTTTAAATTTAATAAATCACGTTCAATTTCATGCATTTCAAGTAAACATGCATCAAGTTCACGAGCAAGATAATCATCATTTTGAAAATCTTCACGAAATTTTTCATCAAAATAATTTATACGTTCATCTGATAGAATATTATTGACAACAGGTCCAAGAAGAATATGATGATGATGTTGTTGTTGTTGTTGTTGTTGTTGTTGTTGTTCATCGGATGTATAAATAAGATTTGTTGAAACTTGTTCATCAGATTTCGTTGTTGAACATGTTGGTGAAGTATGGAAAACATTAAATCGATTTAATAAATTTCGAACATTCGACAAATATTCGAAAACAGTGACGAGTGCTAACATCGATTATTCTAGTTAATTTGTGATGCTCTATGAATCTTCTATGCACCATCTGTTGATTTTTCTTTCCCTAATATAATTGCTATTCTATAATAATTACAGACGACTCCTCCTATAATGTTAGCATTTATTTGTATTCTTCTATTTTAATACAGATATTATTTTTTTTTTCTTGCTCTTTCTATGTGAAGCCTCGATCATCATAAACAAATGTTTCATTATTAAAAACATATCAAATTATAATAAGATATTTTTTTCTTACTACAAAAAATTTGAATATTTATTGAATAAATTAAATGAAAAAGAAATATTAACCATATGTTTTATTCACATATGAATATTAATCATAACCAATCAACTATCGATTTACTTTCTCAACAATTGATAAATAACACCTGATAAAATCAATTTACATATTTTGATAGAAGTTTTTTTTTTTTTTTTATACAAATACCAATTTATATCCTATGCAAATAAAATTTATTATCATTTTTTTTTCTTTGTTGACAGCTGCTGTCAATGATTATGCTCATATTTTTTTATTTATAGAAACGAAGCGAACAGTAATTCTTTTTGAAAAATTTTCTTTTATTTTTCTTTTCTATTTTATTCAAATACTCTTTTCGTATTCATTAATATTTCTTATGTTTTCCATGTAGATAGTACTTGAAATAAACATGAAAAACAAAAAAATAAGAGAATAAAAAATAGCGCAAAAAAACTAAGAATAGTTAACAATGAAACATTGAGAATAAAAAATACATTAACTTATTGTTAAATTCAAGACCCGTAAGCATGCATATGTGTCTATATGATTGTTAAATATTGACGACGTCACGAAAGGAGTTTGTTTACATAGATTCTGACACTACTACATCAGAAACGGAGGGCGCATGAAAAAAAACGATGCAAAGAATAGAAAAAAACATCGATTCTTTTGGACTTCTACTATTGCTATTTATTTTATTACGAGGTTCGTTCTGTTCTTTTCTACCAGCATCAGAGGCAGGGCAGAAGTGCAACAGAGAAAATGCGTGTTGATCGAAAGAAAAATCGCCATATTTCTTCCATCTGCAACTTTCTTTCTCGCGTGTAAACAAGTATCATTGAGATATATAAATAATAAACATGCGCCAATGACCCACGTGATATTTATTATCTATTTATTTTTCATAGATTAATGTGTTCTTCTATTTAGTATATTATTAGAGGGAAAAAAAGGTTATTATAACTAATTGTGTATGGACTCTATAATAATTAGAACTTTTCATTTAGCCTGAGATGTCGGATTTAACAACAACGACAGATGGTAAGCAAAAAAGTTCGAATACATCCGATATAAACAATGTATCGCAAGTATCACTACCCACTGAACACCAACAACAATCAACGAAAACAAATCGCACTCCGATTATATTAAATGGACCTAGTATGAAAGATAAATCATCATCATCATTTAATGCATCTCTTGAAGATCGTGAAAAATATCGCTCACCATTAAATACTCGTTATGCATCTGTTGAAATGAGTTATAATTTTAGTGAAGTTAAAAAATTTTCTACTTGGCGACGTCTTTGGTTTTGGTTAGCTAAATGTCAGCAAGTATGTCCTTTTGAAAAGAACACATATTTATCTATTTAGTTGATTTTTAATTTTTTAATTTCTTTTAATTAGCAACTTGGTTTAGATATTACAGAAGAACAATTAGATGAAATGGAAAGAAATTTAACAAATATTGATTTTGATTTTGCTGAAGCAGAAGAACGTCGGCGACGACATGATGTTATGGCACATGTTCATACATTTTCACGTTGTTGTCCAAAAGCTTCACCGATTATTCATCTTGGTGCAACATCAGCTTATGTTGGTGATAATGCTGTATGAGCTTTCGTCGTTTTTTTTTGTCTCCTTACAAAATATTTTTATTTTTGTATTTTTTTATTTTAATATAGGATTTAATCGTTATGAGAGATGCATTTGATATACTTATTACTAAAGTAAAACATTGAATAATTATCAATATAATTTATATTGTAAATTGTTTTGACTTAGCTTGTACGTTGTATTCAACGTTTAACTCAATTTGCACAAGAATACGCTTGTTTACCAACACTTGGTTATACACATATGCAGTATGTATTATTTTTTAAAATGCTGTAGGCATAAAAATTTCGAAAAGCTTATCATCATCTCTTTGCAAACTAAGCCAAAAACAAACAAAATGTTCGTAATCTCTAACGATAGCTAGAGGACAATGATTAAAGTAATTTTCATTGTTGAGATTTTCTTAAATATCTTTCAAATAGAAAAAGAAAACGAAATTCTTTTAAATTTTCTTTGCTAGTGATTTATGTCAATATCTCAACGTATTTTGTTTACATTGAGACTTTCGACACAGAAAATAGTCTATCATTCTCTTAAATAAAAATATTTATTGAGTAAAAAATTTCAGAAATCAACTCAATTACAATTTATCATGATGAAAATTTAAACATCAAAGTTTTTTCTCTTTATATACATTCAACAAACGATGTGCCGAAAAACAAAAAAAGTCATTTTGCCCAAGTTTATGTTTTGTGATGAAGAAAAATAAATAATAAATGAATTCTTCTTGTTTTTCAGACCAGCACAATTAACAACTGTTGGTAAAAGAGCATGTATCTGGATCCAAGATTTATTAATGGATTTGAAAAATTTCGATCGTATGAAAAGACAATTAAGATTTCGTGGTGTTAAAGGAACAACTGGTACTCAAGCATCATTTCTTCAATTATTCAATGGTGATCATTCAAAAGTAAATAAACTTATAGAAAACATATTTTTGTTTAAAATATATCCTTATATATATATGACAATAGGTTGAAGAACTTGATCGTATGGTTACAGAAATGGCTGGTTTTTCAAAGTAAATAGTTTTTTGAATATATATTTTCTAATACTAAATTTTCGTTTTATTAGAATCTTGTTTAAATATAAAAGAATTTAAGAAAAAAAAAGTTTCTATAGTCATGCCTATGAAAGTAAAACATGTTGCATAAGAGAGTTAAGGTCGTAACAGAAATCTATGTTTACCCCAGTACAACCGATCTGATTGAAAATTTTGACTTAAAATATTAAACTATTCATGAGCTATCATAACATCAAGCGTCAAAAAGTAGATGTTCGTGTGATAAAGATTTCTTCTCGAAATCTAATGACACAGATTTCAAATTGATTTTAAAATCCAGTCAAGATCTATCGCTGCAACTTAAGGGAGCCTAACATTTCAAAATATCGTTTCTTTATTTTCGAAAAATCAGAATGGCTCTACAGAAAAAATATTCATTTCTTTCAAAAAGTAAGTCGTATATAAATATTTTGGTGTAGTTAAATTTTAGAGCGCATCTTCCTGAAGTTTATAACATGTAAAACGGTCGAAAAATCTACTTTGAGAACAATGCGAAAACAAAATTGGGCATAGGAACTTAAACTTTTTTATTAATAAAATGATATAGAAAACAAACCGTGAAATTACATAATAAATTCGGTAAATCGTATTAGACATTGACAATTATCCAATTGCGTCAAAATCGAATTTTTTGACGAAAATCATGGTTTCTGATGGACAGGTCGACCTTAATCTTCGGTCAGAAACTTTTCAGAATCAATTAAAATTATCATATAGATTCATTTATTAAAAATTAAAGAACGAATAAGACCATAATTTCTCGCATTAATATAAACTACAAATTATAAAAAGAAATACTTCAGAAAACTAAGAACTATTACTAGAAATAATATGTTATACGAAACGACTTTTGTGAAATTTGTAATCTAAAGATTAAATCTTCTTTTTTAAAAAAAAGTCTTTTTCGGATGTGATTAAACAAGCATGTTTAAAGAAAACAGAAAGTGTTTAATAATTATCGCAATCAATAATAATTGAAAAAAAAAAATATAAAATGAATCGATTTTGTTGACAAACATATTCTATTTATTTTAGAGCTTTTATTATTTGTGGTCAGACTTATACACGTAAAGTTGACGTTGAAATAGCCAGTGTACTTGCCAGTTTTGGTGCTTCGATTCATAAGGTTTATTTTAATCGATGTGTTGTTTTTTTTATTTATTTATCTCGAAATCAATTGAATTAATATTTAGATGTGTACTGATATACGTTTATTAGCTAGTTTAAAAGAAATTGAAGAACCATTTGAAATCGAACAAATTGGTATAAATTAGCACATTTAATAAAATTAAAGTATGAGTGATTTTTCTTTATTTCATTAGGATCGAGTGCTATGCCTTATAAACGTAATCCAATGAGATGTGAACGATGTTGTTCACTTGCACGACATTTGATGACATTAATTAATGATCCACTTGGAACACATTCAGTTCAATGGATGGAACGAACATTAGATGACAGTGCTAATAAGTACACAAAAAAAAATAAAATAAACGAAACATTTATGGAGATTTGTTATTTTAAACAACTTTCATATTATTTAGACGTATTTGCATTCCTGAAGCTTTTCTAACTGCTGATATTATTTTATTTACGTTACTGAATATATCTGAAGGTCTTGTTGTCTATCCAAAAGTAATAAAAAGAAAAGTTTATTGTCTTATCAATTTTTTTTTTCTTCATTTATCTTAATTAGGTTATTGACAAGCATATTAAACAAGAATTACCATTTATGGCTACTGAAAATATTATCATGGCAATGGTAATTATATTTAAATATTTGATCGTAAGAATATTTAAATCATTTAGGTTTCTGCTGGTGGTAATCGACAAGAATGTCATGAAAGAATTCGTACTTTATCTCAAAAAGCAGCTGAACGTGTTAAAATTGATGGTTTAGATAATGATCTTGTTGAACGTGTTAAAAATGATCCATATTTTACACCTATTGTCAATAAACTTGATGTTCTTCTTGATGCTAAAACATTTATTGGTCGTGCACCTGAACAAGTAGAAAATATTTTCTTTGATTTTCACTCATAATTATTCTTTTGAAGGTTTTTGAATTTATTTCACGTGAAGTTGAACCAACTTTAAAGAATTTTTTAATACCAGTCACACCATAAACCGTTGATTAAACTTTATGAACAAAAAACAAAAAAAACACAAAACGAAGCTTTTTTATGATCGACAAATACAAACATTTATTTTACCTCAATGCCTATTTACTTCATTTTTCGTTTGTTTTAACCGTTTTGTTGTACATGTCAAGTATTTTTTATTATTCTTATTAGAACTAGTCGCTTTAGACGAACAAAAGATATATATAAGAGAAAAAACATGAAACGATAATGCGAGAGAAAAAAAATAAGAGTAAATACAGTATTTTTTTTTTATATTGTACTTCTAGTTCTTTCGAACGAAAAAAAAAAAAAGAAATTCTTATTTGATATTATAAGTATGGCTTTTGCCAAAAAGTCTATTTTGTTAATATATTGGCTGAAATATCGATGAATATTGAATACATAAGAAAATCAATAAACAAAAATATAAATTTTTATTTCTTACTATTTATTTCAATAGAAAACAAAATCTATACAAAGATATAATCTAAGCATTAATAAGATCTTTTTCATTAAGAATATTATTACAACCAGCTGATGGACATGTTGCTGGACGTTTTGCTTTATTTTTATCAGCAATATATTTAAGTACAGTCTTTTTTTCATATTTATGTTTACATTTTTTATTTTGTACTGGTTCAACAAATGGTTTTTGTGTTAATGGACATTTATTGGAAACAACTTGATCAACAATATTTGCATCATTATCATCATCATCATCATCATTATCTAAATGATGAATAAAATATATTTGAAAGGATCACAAGATTTTATTTTTTTTTTATTTTTATTACTTTGCATTTTGGAAATACATTCAACAAAATCAGCATAACGATTATCAGCATCAATGTTAGATTCATTTGAATTAGGTTGTTTAATTAGAATTTTATTTAATTGATTTTGTAATTTTTCTAAATTTTCAATATTTAATGCTGAAATTTCAATTTGTTCATCTATTTGTGATTCATCAATTTCCATTTCATTATTACTTTCGTCATCGTCATCAGAATTTTCATTGCTTCGATGATTACGAACTTTTTCTTGAGTATCATTCGTTTTATCAATAAATTTTGTCTAAATAAAATATCATAGTATCAATTGAGAAAAAAAACAAGAGCGGATGTATCCTAATCTTGAAGCTCTAGATGAGTAAAGCAATCGGCTGAGTTACTGTTGCCGTGACATAAAAATAGATCGTAGGTTTTTGTTTTTTAATTTTTGACATTCAGTATCAGTTTTCAGGTATGTTCTTGTCTAATTTTCTTATTATTACATTCTCTATCATTGTTTTCTTCACTTCCAGGGGTATGAAACACTTTCATTCATCAACGTCAATTATTGCATCAGCTTACACTTCGAACAGAATCTATCATATAATGATGAAATAGAAAATAGTCATGCAGTAAAGTGAAAAATATGAATGATCAAATAGACTAATAAATAAAATATTTTCACTTGTAAAAAGAAGATTAAATAGAACAAAGCAAGAAATATTGATCCATGTTAGAGATGTACAAAATAAACTGTTTATTCGTATCCTTATCCTGCTCTATAGAACTTCTGCTGTTACCTCGCTCTACGAAGTTTTTATGTCATTCTCTCTTAAACCTATCCTTGTTGGAAGACTCTCCATGTGATAAATAATATCACGCTAGTGATGTGCACGGTCAGTTTTTTTTTTCGTGCTCTGTATCCTGACTAAGAAAAATTGCTCTTTAGTAAATAAGTCTTTAAACCCTTCAATATAAAATTTGAAATACTTTGTTTTGCTCATCATGACTTGAATTTTCCAAAAATAAAACAAAATTAATTTCTTAGACTTTATATATCGTCAAGTCTATATCTGATAAGGTACTTAGCCAAACTAAAAACATCAAGATTAAATTCATATCTTCTATCAATTTGCGAAAATCCGATTATTAATATTTCTCATTTATTGATCATAATATTATAACTTTATTCTTTCGTTCTATATGAAACTATAAATATCTATGAAAGAAATTTCTTTTTTTAACCTTTTTTAATTGTGTTCGACCTTCTTTGATACATGTAGTTGCTTTTTCCTCAACATCATTAACTCGTACAGCAATTTTCATAAGTGCATCAACATATTTTTGACGTTCTGAAAAGAAAAAGAGACAAAAACACAGATATAAAAACTATGAAAAAAAAAATTCAATCAAATTACCAGAACATTCTTGCATTTCTTGAGCAACGCTTGTAAGTGTGACAATTTGTTTTTCAATTAATGGAAATATTTCTGACCATAAATTAAGACCTTGATCTATTTCTGTATAATCTAATACGCAATTGTCTATAGTCGGCATAACAAAAGAAGTTGAATTAGTTGTTAGTTTTGCTGACATTATGTTCAAAATTGTTTGAAAATGAAAAGGAAGTACTTAGTAGTTGCTCTTCCTGCTGTAAATGAACAACTAATCATGAATAAGAAAGAAGAGGTCGTTATTAATAAACGCTACTTGTCGAGATGAATTTCTATCGATAGTAGCGTCATTCGTGATATTCAATATATTTTTTGATGACGTTTTCTATTTGATCTTGGCTTATATCGTCCTTATTGTTTCGTCGTCATCGACAATTATTTAACATCCATCAGTGTGGGGATTATTATTTTTCTCTATCGACTATGATGAGTTTTTATCGTTCATAATATATTATGGTTAGAAAGTGGGAGGTTTGTGTTTTTGTTTTGTTTTTCGTATAGCTTTTTTGTTTTTTTTACTTTTAAATTTAATAGATTATTGAAAGCAAAAATCGTTTTTATTGCGATGGACGCTGTTTAACTGGTCGTAATATTGGAGTATTCATTCTTGCTCTTGTCTTGATTATTGTTACATCAGGATTATTCTTCGCATTCGAGTAAGAATTAATAAAAGAAAAAAAACAATTTTCGACTTCTTATTACGAGACTTCGCTGATAGAGTTTTCAACATAGGAATGTTTACATCAATCATCTCCTTATCTATTTTAGTTGTCCCTATCTAGCCAATCGACTCCATCCAGCTATACCAGTTTTTGCTGCTATTATATTTCTAACTGTTATTTGTTTTATTTTTCGTACGGCCTGTTCAGATCCTGGTATACTTCCACGAGGAACATCGGATGAAATACTCTACCTTGAACGATCAAGTTAGAAACTTTTTTTTTTTGATACTAACAAAAAATTAAACAAAATAACTATTTATGTATTTCTTCTGTGCAACAGATGTTTCAAATAGTCCACAAAGTGTTGCATTACCAGGTCGTACAATCGAAGTTCAAATGAGTAGTGGACATGTGATTCAGTTAAAATTTTGTTCAACATGTAAAATTTTTCGACCACCACGCGTATCACATTGTTCATTATGTGATGCATGTATTGGTAAGTTATATTTTAAAATGAATTTAAATTTTGCATAGAAAGAAAATAATTTTTCATTAATTGTTTTCGTTGTTTTTCTATATGTCGATATTTATAATAATAAATAATTAAAATACATACAATAATAATGAGTATTATTGAAAGAATAATAAATAAAAGAGAATGATTTTCTTTTTTTGATTTATGAATAACTAATTTATTTTGACATAAAACAATATGTTTTTCTTGACAATGATTTTGTATTAAACAGAATTTTTTTTCTAAATTATTATTATAGTATAATATCCAACATTGTTTTTCATTCGAATTAAATTGTTGACATTGATAAAAATTTTTTAAAGATGTTTTATTATAATCAATCCATATTTGTTGATAAGTATAATTATTTAATAAAGAAAAAATTAAATCAAATCGTGTTAAATTTGTTAATGATAGAAGTTCGAAATGATTATTTATTTTATAACATTCATCAATTGCTTTAGTCTAAACATACAAAGAAAAAAACAAAAGATTTGAAGTCGAAAAATAAATTTCATTTATTCTTCATTATCTTTAATATTCTTATTTTATTTTATATTAAGTAAGATTTGAAAAATGTACCTGAGTTGTTCGATTTATATTTAATAAACAATAAGATTGAGTAACAGAACATGAATAATTTATTTGAATATTTGATATTAACAAAGATAATAAAATAAATAGTTCTTGATACATAAGTTTTTTTTTTTTTTTATTAAGAAAAATGAAAGAAATGCGCTTTGTTTTTTTCTTTAGCAAATTTCGATCATCATTGGTATGTTTTGATTTATTTGAAATATAATTTTTTTTTTGTTTTTTTTTTTTTGTATAATAGTCCGTGGGTTGGAAATTGTGTTGGCTTACGAAATTACAGATATTTTTATTTATTCTTATTTTCATTATCAATTTTATGTGCATACATATTTGCTTTTAATATAACACATGTTGTTTTACGTAAGTATTAGAAAGATTAATGATTTTTTTATTATATCAATATGTCAAGGATTTATTCCATGGTTTCTTTTTTTTTCTAAGGATTATATTATTTTTATTTGATAGCATGAAAATTGAAAAATTTTGTTTTGTTTTTAGAATAGATATTCATTTTATATTTTGTCTATAATTAATAAAGAGAATTTATTGAGTAATTTTAGAAGAATAAACTTAGACAAAAGTAAATCTTATTCAATTCATATATTAACATTTGAAAATACAATAATATTAATTGTTTATATAGTTGGGAAAACAATCGAATAAGAATAAAATGAATTTCCTGAGCTTTTATTTCAATTATTTGATTGTACAAATATTTTTAGAACAATCTATTCTATCAAAATATCAGGTATTTATCGATTAGAAATAGTTGTATATTGAATAGTAGAGACATTATTAAAAAACATTAATTTGTAGAATTCATATAAATTTTTCTATGAAGTATAGATCAATGATTTTGATTTTTTTCTTTTACAGTATTTGAAAATAAGAATACTCTTGTTGATTATAATGGAAATTTCTATAACGATAGTAGACATATTATAATTAACACGCTTAATTCAATTTGCTTGTAATCTTCTTAAAAAATTTTTAATATTCGTAGATAATTAATAAAATACTATTAATAACTCTATATTAAAACTGAATATTTTAATAATGAAAATATTTATTTTTTGTAATTATAAACTAAACTTATTCAATTAGCTTTTTTGTCAATTATTAACATTTTGTTTTTCAATGTAATTTAATGTTTATGATAGATATATACAATAGTAATCATTTATATCGCTAGATTTGATTTCAAATTATTTAGAAAAAATTTTCATATAAAACTAATTTTAAAATGAATGCTTCTATGATTTTTCCACTTGTTAACTCAATATAGAAGTTTTTAATTAACTCAATGTAACATATAGAAAAATATTCACAAGAATAACCTAATTTTTTTATTTTTTTTTGTTTTCTATTGGTTGATTTATAGTTAATTGGAATTATATTTATCCATCAAAACTGTGACATGTATATTGCAAAAGAATTAATATAATCACATTAAAAAATAGATCTTTGCATGTTTTTAAAATATAAATAATAATATCATAATCAAGTTCTAATTAACTCACGGTATTCTTCAATTATCTATAAGACATCGAGACCAGACACCAAAGAATAAGTAATATATTTTCACATTCATTATTCTCTATATTCCGTTGTAATTTGACTTATTTCATATTTTTCTTATTTTTTTTTTTTTTTTTTTTTGATATATGGTTTCATGCTGATTCCGACAGACAACCATTAATGCTTTTTTTGTTTTTTTTTTAAATCTCTTTTAAAAATACAAAAGATAAAACTTGAAAAGAAGTTATTAAGTCTACATATAACAATCAAAAGATTTATCATTCGCTTCAAAGAACAAGAAGAAGTAATCTTCCGGAATACTTTATTAATTAATAAATTGATACAAAAAAAAACAACAAAGTCATATACTAATGATATCGTAGTCATTGGGAAATAAATCATATTGAATTCGAGTACAAAAATTTTGAAGTCGATAGGCTCTAATCATCTGAAAAATATGCAGAATGCGACAATCATCGAACGCAAAAATAAATCGGAAAAAAAAATATCGCGTATTTTCTGAGTGATTATTCTATTTCAATTAGATAATATCATTGTGATTATCAAAGTACGATTCGACCTAGGTTCGGATTCGAACATTTTGGACCTGAGGGATTTTACAGGGGAAGAGGAAATATTTTTGATGTTTTCTTTTCTTTTCTGTAAATAGGAGCTCAAGAAAAACCATCATTTATTGATGCAATTCGAGATACACCAGCAACAGTAGTTGAAGCAATAATTTGTTTTTTTTCCATTTGGTCCATTGTTGGTCTTTGGGGATATCATACATATTTAATTTGTCGTAGTATAACAACAAATGAAGATGTAAGTGTTAAATAAATAAAAAAAAGAAATTTATATTTGTTCTTTTTGTTCAAAAAGATTAAAAATACATGGAATGCATCTCGACCTGGCATGACTATGAAAAATCCTTATTCAAAAGGACATTCATGTTTAAATTATTTTTCAATATTATGTGGACCATTACCACCAAGTTTTCTTAATTTAAGAGCTATAGTTAAACCAGATGATCATATTAATATGACAAGAAATGCCATGATGAATACTAATAATGCTCAAGACTTGATAAGATATCAACATGAAGAAAACCGTCGTACGAATAATAATGTAATATATTCATTTTTTTTTTTTGAATTAATTAAAATATAAAACAAAAATTTATATATTTTTTGTTGTTGTTCTAGCGAGTGTATACAACAATGACACATCCATATTCCGAACGAAAACAAAATAGTTATCCACCGCGTGATTATGTTTAATATGTCAGATTTTTTTTTTTCGTCCTCTTATTTTATTTTATTTTTTGCTTCTTATATTGCGTTCCACTATGTGAATTACTCTTTTTGTTCATAAAAATCAAGCGTGCTTACTTTTTTTTGTCAATCAAAAATAAAATAAATATATCTTAAAATGATAATTCTTATTAATTTATCATTTAAATTAGAGAATTATTTGTTTTGTTTTTTTTTAATTCAATTTTAAATGATTATTCATGGTTGAATAGAATGAATTTTTAATAGTTTAGAATTGCAAAAATAAATAGATCATAGAAACAAAAACGTTTCTGAAATTTAAGAGTATGAATACGTTTAAAATAATAATAAAAAAGGATCTAACTAATTGTGGCACTACTGTAAAAAGAGAAATGCATTTACTTAGTCATGCAAATTAACTAGTATATGTTATATCGTATGCATGGAATATAAAGATGATCCTAGGTTTGGTAGGCGTGTTGATAGTTCAATTTAGTTATTCTTTGTCAAAAATTACTAGAGCATGTTTATGTAAGTTAAGTATGATTGGTTTTATTTTTTGCATCTTACGAATGTAATT